TCCACAGACTCGCCCGGTTGTAGACGTCGGTGATACAGCTCATACATAGCCGCGTCGGGTCCCAATGCAAATGCACGATGCAGTTTTTGGCGGACGATTGCAGCATCCCGCTGCTCGGTGGAGGAGAGGGTGGCCCACACCTCGTACGCCTGGTCCCTCAGGCGTGTGGGTATGACAGCGGCCAGTGACACACGACGCAGGGCACACAGCTGTGTCGCCTGCTCCAGCCATCTGACGACGTCACCGCTGCCGTCGAACTCCGGTATTGCCCGCAGATCGAATGCAGGCGCAGGAAACTCTGGTTCCATGGTATTGGTACCAGCTACCGGTGCACCACTGCCCTCTTCTACGTCAGACATAATCACAACACTTAGTCGAGAAGGCCGAAATAGCTTGTCGTACTGACTTAAAAGTCACCGTCCAGCACAAGAAGAAGATCTATTCTGCTCTCCTCTACACCTTCCAGCCAACTAAACTCACAATCCCCCTCCTGGCACATCCACAGCTCGCAGACACACATCTCACATCATCACCAACCAATCGCGCTGTCATACGTCATATATCTCACATCATAACCAGCCAATCATGCTCCCATACGTCATGCCCGGCCCAGCTACTTGCAGGGTGTAACTCGGCCCTGCCGGCATCAGATGCCGGCGGCTATGACCAACGCTGGGTCACCGGTTCACAGCTCGACGCTGAAGCTGACTCACACTTATACGGCTCACATTCATCCTTGCGTCACGCTACAACCCTGAACCAAATGAACTTTGACCTGTGACCTCTTTTCCGAGACCATGTTTGGCCGGAATGCGATTCGGCGTATATCGGCTCGCATTAGCCGCGCGTTTGCAAGCTTTTCGTGGTTTCAAACGTTCAAACATGTGATTTGATGTTGCTCCCATACATTAGGGTGGGTGTCAAGGTCACCTGAAGGTCAGGTCAGGTCATTGACCTTTGGTGACCTCGGGTGACCTCGGCTCACTTTTTCGAGTTTTACATGTTTCTAGGTTAGTTTTTGGAGCTGAATTCGAATTTAGCAACCATTTGAACATTTACGAAGTAGTTTTGGTGCCTTCGTAACATGTTACGAAGCTGTCAGAGTCGGTTGACACGTATTACGAATAGGTACCCGTCACAACCCCTACCGGTTGACCTGACCTGACCTGACCCGACCTGGTCTAAATACTTAAAACCATCATCTCTGATCAAAACTAACACGATATTCGTGATCAGCACCCCGGAAAATCACACAGCAGCCACACTTTACGACTTTCTATCTAACAGGTCCCGATTTTCCCGGTTTTCGGGTCATTGACCTGACCTGGAAGGTCAACCGATGACCTAGGACCTTAAAATTGGGTATCATCGGCTTCCTCTCGTGACGGGCAACACGCTCGTTTTTTCCGCGAAGCTCTAGCTCGATCAGGGGCCAAACGCGAGGGGGGGTCGTACCCCCCCCCCCCATTGTGCCGTCGAAGGACGCAAAATGGCCTGTGCCGGCGAGGGTTAAATCCTGTACGCATCTGGTATGGTCTCTGAGTGTATGATCCTTCATCCTGGGGTATCAAATGCCCTGTGATTCGACCACTATCACGCTTACTCACACAAAACACGTTGAAGAAGACACTTAACCGGCGCCGGGCCGGGGGGGGGGGGGTAGGGTTGAACACCCCCTTGCGGTTTTTCGCAGGTATCCGTTTTTGCCACACCTGTTCATACATCTTTTCCGCAAATGTGTAAATTTCAGACCCAGGTCTCTCAAGGTCAGGTCACCAGGTCACGTCAAGTGACCTCTCATCAGAAGAAGTTAGAATCCTCGTCATAGCTACACCAACTGAACGATCGCCTCAACATCGGCTTACAGGTAAGCCTGACCAGGTCAACCAAAAAATGGTACCCGTGACGGACCTCTCCTTACGTCCCTGAGGTCATATCAGGTCCCGAACAGTTTTTTGACCAATAACTTTTGATAAAGACCTGCTAGAGCGATGGAAAGACGATGTTCAGCTCGACGACACGGATCGATTGATATGTAACATGACTTTTTTCCGGTCAGGTCATGACCTTGACCTGCGTTTAGATTTTCGAAATGACCTTTCAAGGTTAAATTATAATTCGTTCGACGCGTCTCGACAAGAATAACATGATGATGGCAAAATAAAGGTTGCCACGTTCTTGAGTCAGCAAAAGTTATTACGAAAAAAAAAAAACGTTTTTCATAAAAATGGTTTTTGCCCTCTGGGGGCTAAACCGTTGACCTGAGGTCAAATCTGAGGACATGACGGCTAAAGAGCGTTGAAAGAGATATTGAATCGAATGCGCTTTACTCCGGCGCTGTAGCTCTATTGGTTCCCGAGTAATGCGCCGGGTTTTCGAAAATTGTTGAAATATGCAAAATTTGACCTCTGATGACCTCTGGCGACCTGACCTTTGACCTGACCTTAAAAAACTTAGTGTTTTCTATTTTTGAAACTCTTTCGGATGCTGCTTACCGCGTGTCGCTACGTGGCCCAGGAGCCAAGTTAGACGGGGGGGGGGGCGGGGGTGTGTGTTCAGACACCCCCGGGCCCGGCACGGCTGGCGTCGGGTACCGGCCCGACGCGGGTTAACCAGTGTTGCGGTCTACAGGTGCTCCCCTCCCCTCCGCTCTCCTACCCCCTCCCCCCTCACTGCTCCCCGAGACCCGAGCGGCGGGTAGGGGAGAGAGGTCATATTGCGCCATGTTCTTAAATGCGCCACACCTTCCTCCTGTCCAAAATTCGATTCCAATGAATGCTCGAATGTGTGCATTTACTTCACCACCAATAACTCGCTCTTATTCCGGTCCACGGGGGCAGGTGAGGTGTCTCAGCTTTCTCGCAGACCATTTTTTTGTGATTTCCTTTATTTTCTTACGCGAAACAGTCTATTTCGACCTTTCTAGTGTCATGGTTTATCTTAGAGATAGTGATTCAACTAATAATCATTGTTAATTGCTCGTTTAATGGTAGTTTTGAAAGTTTATCACCACCGTGGCTTCGCTGTCCTCGCCATATTTGAAGCTCATGAAAAATGTGTTCCATTCGTAATTGCGCCCACCCTATTTGCGCCCTATTCTTCAACCCAGAGAAACAGCATCTGGTGGTTGGGACACATTTCATTGAACACTTTGATTATTAGAGCGCTCACCTTACCATTACCTTATCCTTCACAGCATAAATGGTTAATGGGCTGACACGTTCAAATAGGCTACTTACACTTAGTTAGGTGGCAAACCGTTGTTTTTAATAGGGCGCTTTTACATGAGAGGCATGGGCGCTTTTTGATGGGGTAGTCCGTAAATGCGCCCTTTGCAGGTGCGTCGGAAAACTTTTCTCTTGTTAACCCGCGCCCCGTCGGGCTCTGCCGAGCAACGCGCCCGGTTGGGGGGGGGGGGCCATTTTGCCCCCCCCCCCTAAGATCTCGAGAACCACGCAACATAGCGACAAGCGGTAAACGGCGTTGGATAGCCCCAACGGGGAACTACCTTGTGACCCAATTTAATAACCTAGGTCAAACCGATGACGTCACAGGTCAGGTCAAAGGTCCAATTTTCACCGTTTACAGGCATTTCAAGAAATGCGTTGTAAAATCGAGTAAAATGCATTTCATTGAAAATCATCGATGGGGAAATGTTCTTCAAACACATATTTTGCTATTTGAGGTAACTGATACCAGGTCAGGTCACAGAGGTCAGGTCACGGGGGGGGTCACAATATGAAAGTGTCGTGTGATACATGTTTTATGGTCAATTTTACATGACAAATGCGATTATGTGGGTCAGGCAGCCTTTGGGTCCAGCTTAGGTCACGTTTTGGTCAAGGTCAGGTCAAGGTCAGGTCAAGGTCAGGTCAAATTAGGTCAAATTTCAAAGTTAATATTTTTGCATAAAATGGGTATCGAATCGATGCAGCTCGTCACGGGGAGTTCAATGGTGGTCTTTGTTTTGCCGTACGTGGTCTAGAATCGCTAAAAATTGAGTTCAAAAATTTGACGTCATCATTTTTGAACAGTTTTTTCGCTATAACTTGGCCAAAAAACGAGATATCGATCTGAAATTTGGTATGTATATAGAAGAGCGCTGGGACTATCACATATATTCCGGTTTTTTCGAAATTCGGAAAATGTTGGATTTTTTTCTAGTTTTTCTAAAGAAAATCAATTTTTTGAATTTTTTTTGGTCAAAAACCAAAAATTTTAAAAATCCGAGATAGCAGTTTTGTAGCGCCGCTTTTTGTCTACTAGACCATATAAAGAACTTTAAAATTGCTTGATAACTGTAGATTTGGTGAGCGTTTCAAGATTGCATGTTTTTTGCTCATTTTTGCTCGAACATGACCTCAGTTTGACCTCAATAACTCCTGACCTAAGGTGACCTAAGACTTGAAATTTGGTGTGAAGGTGTCAAATAGATGCCCGGGAAGGTGCTGAAAATTTGGCGGCGCTGCGCGCCGCCGTTTTCTTGCTATTCAGGAAAAACCACAGGGGCGAGGGTTAATTTTTATGGGTGTGATACAAATTAGGAGTTGTAATTTGATGCCAAAATAACTGAGGTACAATTTGAGATATCATCAAGCATGACAGCTGGTCAACTTTTGCCACAATAGGCCGATATCCTTAAGGTGGCGCAATATGACCTCTCTCCCCTACACTTGGCGGTGGGACGTGGCCGTGGGTGCTCTCTGCCCCCCCCCCCTCGGCTCCCCGGGTGGTGGGTGCATTTGGCGGTGGGTGCTCTCCCGTCTCCGACCCCTCCCTCTCACTGCTCCCTGGGCGGGGGGGGGGGGGGTGCATTTGGCGGGCAGCCTCGCGGTTCGTCGACCGCTAACAAACCAATTACCTCCCCGCCCGTCGGACTGCCTCCTCCGGCGCTGATTGGCCGGTCGGCCGCGGTGGGCGGGGCCTCGGCGGTGACGCGGGGCGGCCTCTAATAGGCCGACGTATGGGCGCCGTGCTCGGCTCAGCCAGATTGGCGCCGGGGTTCGGGCGGCGGGTCGGTGGGCCAAGTGGTAATTAGGGCCGCGCTAGGTGATCCAGCCGCTGCGGTCAGTGTGTGTGCGGCGGCCCGCGGCGCGGCGCCCAGTCGGAGTCCGAGATGAGTGTACTACACCCGGAGAGGAGCAGGATGGGCGTGCCTCCCGGGACACTGCTGGGTCACGGGATGGCCGCCGGCGGCGGGCACCACCAGCGCTCCCCGTTCGCCATACAGGAGCTGCTGGGACTGCACCAGGAGCAGCGGACCGGGCTGCCGCCGCCCCCGCCGCCGCCGCCGCCACCTCCGCCTCCGTCACATACACCGCCCTACAGCCGGACGCCGCTCTTCGCTCAGGTCAGTCGCTCTCTGTCATATGTTTTCACATTTTTCAAAGCACATCTGCTTCTGCAATCATTTTCGATGTTATGTAGGACATTCCGGCATGGGCAGTGGACACACAAAGCAGTTTGGCTGTATAATTGGATGGCATGGCTTAGCGACTTTAAGAGTCGGTCAACGTAAATCAAAGTATATAGTCTTCGAAGTTCTAGGAAGGTGAACCTGCATTAGAGTGTGAAAAAGCCTTGCGGGCACTTGATGGGGGGCACTTGCGGTAGGTATTTGCATCTTCCGGAGAGACCGAACTTCGCCGAAGTTGTGTGGCTTCCCTTGCAAAGAAGGCGAATATAAAACAAAAGTTCATCCAGCTAGCCTGCCTCAACATAGGTATAAGTAGGCGAAGTTTGATAAGTTTTCGGAGGTCAGGAAGTCTTATGGGAGAGCATGGTTTCTTACAACCACCCCCCCCTCACCCCAGCAACGACCAGCACCATCACGGAACGGACCCACCGATGCCTGAACCGTCCATTGCTATGTTCCAATATAATTACGGGGAAGGGAGAGTGGAGTAAATTGGTCGTTTTTTGGAAAACAATATAGGTATCTTAAAACTCACCACTTGTTTCTGCATCTAATCAACGGTAGCTTTTCTGCATTCATTTTTCTATCCGCGGGTCAGAAAGCCTAAGGGCTAAGATTATAGAACAACCATTAATGTCAACATTTTGACGTTCAACAAAGGTCTGCAAGGTGGCCAAATGCTTGGCCGGTGGGGTATGAGGGCTATGGTATGGGGCCGGTGTCAATTAGAGGCCGGAAACATAAATAGTGGCGAAACTTCAGTGTCATCAACGGAAAGTTTTCTACGCACATTTCTCAGCTTAGATCGACGTTGGATTTCGATTCGAAGGACTGGCTAATTTCTGGTCTGCGGAGTTTGTGTCACACTTTGAGAACCATGAGAACGTAATTATTTTAAACGTTCTGCTGACTTTTGAATTATAACTAATTTTTGCATTTGTTTGTTTTAACTTTTATCATTAGCTTCACGACGCTCTTCGAAATGGAAAAGTTACCTTAAAAGTAAACAGCTTATACTCGTATGTCAATTGAAGTAAAACAGTGATTAGCCGATCGAATTTACCGAACGCATGTTTGCATTGTTCCGACGTCATGAACGAAATGCTGCCATCAAAAATGGCAATTCAAATAAATTTAAACCATTGTCGCAATTTGTAGCCTTCTCAGCGCTTTCCCGTTTCGTGGCCATGGACTTCTCCTTTAGGCCAAGTGACCAGAACCCGGCAGCTACTGCGCAGTCTGATGGCTTAGCCTGCACTCCCTTGAAGGTAGACTGTGCCGTAATACCATCTATGTAGATCGACATCACCCTTTTAGAGACACGATTTCTAGTAACGATCCTGAAAGCGCTGGCCAATTTAACCAGCTAGGTATGTACCGGCCAAATAGCCCCGCATCGACATAATAAAAGGATAAATCGCAAAGAGTTTTTGAAAAAAAAGATGAATTGTTCTTCCAGATACCGAACCCACCAACGCATGGTATGTACTAGAGATGTCAATCGGATACCAACTTTTTGGTATACCGATACCAAACCGATACCAACTCGGTATTTGGTATTTCAATCCTAATGTGTTTGGTATTTTGTTGGTATCATGAACCCTCGCTAATGTTTAAGAGGCTAAGAAACCGGTAAAAAGTTAGTATTTTCCTCATGTTCCCAAGTTGGTTTGGTTTCGGTATTTCTCCACGGTTTTGGTTGGTATTTGGTTAGGTATCGGTACTCCGATTTTCCGTAATTGACATCACTAGTATCACAGATAACAGTAGTACTACTGTTTTCTGTGCTAGTATGTACCCGGATGTCGAATTTTGCTAACAACTAAGGTTAGGTCATGCAATACAACGTTTCCAACGGCAGTAAAAGTGCTCGTTTTTCGTCCAAATTCAAATTTCACTGGCTTTGAAGAAAAATTACGGGAGGCAGAATTTTGATACCTTCCCGCACAGTGACACTAGAAATGTCAACTACTTAAAGGGCTATCTATTCATGGCGTTAATTTTCTTACAGGTGGGGCGGCCGATTTACCTCTCCGGATAAATTGTCTCATTATCACCTACCAGAGAGCGCAAAGAGCGAACCAACTCTTTCCAATAAAACGTGTTTTTTTTTAACGAGGGCCTGTCCCAGACGGGTCTGATCCGCCCTGTAACATTTTAAGGGTTTTGTGTCTTTACAACCGTACAACCGTTTGACAAACAGCTTCTTTGTTTAATAAGTTTCGCTGTCGTCCCTTTTGCAATTTGATATTGAATGTCTACTACCTGCCATAATTATGAGTGCTAAACTGAGAGTGTCAAGATTCAGTAGTTCTAATATGAGAAAGCGGTTATTTGAGGTTCATTATAATTAGTAGGTATATTGATGAAATAAAACATCAATCTAGAAATCTGATGATGAACTATGCCCGAAACTGTTGTCTCTTTTATTTTCGATCATACTTTATTCATACTGGGCAAATTGCACCGAAGCGTACAACTTTGCCTGTCCGTCGGAAAACAACGGGCAATGCGTTTCCACGTTTCACGGTTATGGTGCTACAGCACGAGTACTGCGGTTTGTGGCTTTAAATTATTTCTACACAGCAAACACACAGCACAGCACACAGCACACAGCAAACACATTCTGAAGCTTTGGGAATATTTTAAAGCCAAAGAATATTCGATACATAGAAATATAAGGGAGAAACTTCGGGGAATAGTTCCTCATACTGTGTCATATAGGCGGCGGAACGGGGGGGGGGTTGCACCGGGGCATCGTAGGTACCCCCTTGATTTTGCCATTTTAACATTAGCCCTATGGGTGTTGCATGGAAAGAATGGGACCAAAAGTCAGCAGTGCCCCACCTTAATTGAAGGTGTTCCGCCGCTACTGTACAGTGTCCAAAATTGTCAATTTTTCTTTTCATCATTTCGTTCGCACAAAAATAAGCACTAACAATATTATGAATAAAAGTTGTATTTAAATTGCACATTGCACAGCAGCCCATGAGGGTTTGTCTGGCTTGTCTATCGTACGTTTACAGCCGAGTTTCGACTATTTGTCTACATCCCTGTTTAAGCTGGCTCGTCTGCCGTCCGTTTCCAGCCGAGTTTCGACCACCTGAACTCCGTGGCCACATCACGGATGTACCAGGCGGCGGCGGCGGCGGCAGCGGCTGGCTTCCTGCCCTCCGGGGTACAGGGCCACGCCGTGCCGACCACGGGCGCAGGCGCGCAGTTCGCGGGATTCGACCTGCGGGGGATGGAGCACGCGCCCAGCACAGGTGGGTGCCGGAGCGGGCGGCCGGTTCGGAGCGGGCGGCCGGGCGGCAGGGCCCGGGGAGGGCGGCCGGTTCAAAGGGAGGCTCGTACTGAGGGACTGAGATTTGATGTGTACCTACAATGTACGTAGTACGTACATATGGTGTACATATGGTGTACATATGGTGTACATATGGTGTACATATGGTGTGTACATATGGTGAGTTGCGAGAGTGGGGCTATAAGCAATGAATATTGAGCAGTGCGGCTTACTTCCACTGCAATTTGGCGGCTTCCTCATCCAAATACTTGGGTTATCGGTGTTCTCCTTCAAAAGCAATATGAATAACCGAAACTGTCCGTCTCCGGTAAGTATACCTACCGGAGACATCCCGATTTTTGGTGCGTGGATTAAAGGGCATGACCAAAACACATACGGTGACGGACAGAACATCAGAGGAGAGACGAGAGTGAGACAAACCATCACTCATTCCTTATTTGTATTCTTAATCTAAATCGATCACTGTCAGCTGCTGGCATAAAAGTAAGATCAACACAACTGCAGCAAAGTTACGATGTTCCCTCAACATCGAACTCTCGGAAACTCTCAGTCGTTAGATTACAAGCTAACTGGCCACGTGCTCCTCCGTACCTGACAGAACTGACACCTCGTCACGTCCCGATTTTCGCCGCCAGCCCGGTAGCCGGGCGATGACGCGGCATATTTGCACCGGCCTCACATGGCGAGTCAGCTGCGCGGCAGAACCAGATCGATAGATGGTTGCCCAGGCAACCCCGCCGTGAACGAGAAACGTCTTCGCTAATTATTTGTCGGGGAGAGAGGGACCAATAGCGGTGTTTCTCCCGTGATGATTCCGTAAGCTCGTGCCATCCTTCTCGTAACGAGTTGATTGGACCATGGGATTGGGATGGGATACATAGGTTGGCTTATTTAAAGCCAGAATAATCTGAATATACTGCGATGGTGTTCGTGATAGGTTATCAGCGAAAAGAGAATCTTTGAATTGAGTTGTCAATAAACATCCATAGTGCGTGCTCTCAAGCTGTTAGCGTTGTTCACATCTGTAATTACAAGCAAGAGTCACCTGATCTAATGCCTCGTCGAACCCTCGACTCTGAGTCCACCAAACGCTAAAATCATCCGCATCCCTTCTTTAACAGCTCAATTTATTGTCGCTAAAACGATCGGCCCAGCCATTAGAAGTCGAGCTGGGTATCAATATTACATTCAAGTAATCATCACCGGTCCCGGGAGCCGTTTCGTTTCAATTATTGGCCGCGCGTCGCCGCTGCCCCTGGAGCCGATATGGCCCCGGGGCACGGCACGGTCCGACAATGGGGACTCTATTGGCCATCGCCGCCCATTGACTGCCGGGACGGCGACAATGCGCTCCTCACCGGCGTCATTGGAGGCGAGCCGGACTGCCAAACTGGCTGCCAGAGCCGGAATGTGGGCGCCGAATAGGACCCGGGAGCGAACGAATTGGAAATTGGGTGTACTTACAGACCGGTGGACTGAATTTAATTGGGTATTGCCGGTATTGCGGCTGGATGCTGCTACATCTGGAATTTGAATTTTTGCTGGTTTGCATTGGGCACATACGTACCGATTACCTACCCTACCTAGTCAACCATTGGGCAATGCGCATTGGACAGTCTTTTCAAAACATTTTCATTGACACTGCATCATTTCTTCTAGCGTATAACCCAACGAGTGCAGCCTCGGGATCTCTTTGGCCCCTACTGCCAGACTCGTCTATCTATCGTCAGCTCTCCCCGACTGCTCTTCCCAAGGCACTGTCCAGTAGCTAGCACACTGCACAGCACCATAACATCACATGATATCATCCCTCAACACCACATGATCACTGCCCCCGTGGCCACTGGCGGATCCAGGGGGGGGGGGGCCACGGGGGCCATGGCCCCCCCCCCAAAGGCCTAAAGTGGCCTGTTTGGCCCCCCCCCAAAACGCCAGAAAAATTGCTAAGAAAATATGCCTTGATGGAGGTTTTTAGCCACTTGGTGAAGTAAAGCTTTCCACAGCATAATATGGAAGCAATATAGTAGCAGTGAGGGTCAGTCAAAAGTTGCGCGAGCGGAGTCGACCTTAAAAAAAAGACTGTTGTTGGCACGTGTTTATGGCGCGGCAGCTGGTAGTTGGCGGTGTTTCGCGTGGTGTGGCATCACTGGCGGATCTGGGGGGGGGGGGGGCACGGGAGCCTGAGGTGCCCCTGACAGGCCCGTGGTGCCCTTGCTAGGCCTGTGGTGCCCCTGGACGCTGGCAGGCCTGTGGTACAGTCCACAGCAGAAGTAATGTGGGGTTTCAGTCATGGGTATGTTCTGCTTCTGAAGCTTAGGAACGATTAGCCAGACTACAATGAAACTTTGAATGTAGCTTATATGTATCGTCACCCTTGCAGCTGCAACTTTAGCTATTGACATCTTCTTTTCAATCACTTCGCATTAAACAATCGCCAGTCAAAGCCAACCGTTGAGTTTGGTAAAACCCTACATTACTTTAGCGGTGGGCTGTACCTCTGGCGGGCCTAGGGTGCCCCTGCTAGGCTGCTGATGCCCCTGGGACCTGACAGGACTGTGGTGCCCCTGACAAGCCTAAAGTGCCCCCAACAGGCCCGTGATGCCCCCGACAGGCCCAAGGTGCCCCTGCGTGATGCCGTGATGCCTGCGAGGCCGGTGGTGCCCCCTGCGAGGCCGGTGGGGCCCCTGACAGGCCCATGGTGCCCCTGCTAGACCGATTGTGCCCCTGGCAGGCCTGTGGTGCCCCTGCTAGGCCGCTGGTGCCCCTGGGCCCTGACAGGACTGTGGTGCCCCTGACAGGCCCAAGGTGCCCCTGCAAGGCCGGTGGTGCCCCTGTAAGGCCTGTGGTACCCCTGCTAGGCCTCTGGTGTCCCTGACAGGCCCATGGTGCCCCTGCGAGGCCGGCGGCGCCCCTGGCAGGTCTCTGGTGTCCCTGACAGACCTGGGGTGCCCCTGACAAGCCTGTGGGGCCCCTCACAGGCCCGTGGTGCCCTTGCTAGGCATGTGGTGCCCCTGGCGGGCTGGTGGTGCCCCTACTAGGCCGGTGGTGCCCCTGACAGGCCTGTGGTGCCCCCGGGCACCAAGGGGGTCATGACCCATGTGGCCCCCCTTGGATCTGCCACTGATGCATAATATATTGATTTGTAAAGGCGTTATGGCTTATGCAATATGCAATTGCAGGCACTTGGTATCCCTCACTTATCCCTCATTGGGGCTCTGGCGGGCTCCTGAGGGCCCACGTCTATCTCCGGGAGCCCATATAGACAGGCTCCTTTGGGTCCTTTCAGTACACTATAGCATAAGAGGTCTCCATGCGAGTCCTATACATACATCTGAGGGCGTACCTGAGGGCGTACTCTGAGGGCGTACCCTGATGATGATGTGATGAGGTACCCAACTGCAGCTCCAATGGTCTCTTTTACACTGGCGGATCCAGGGAGGGGGCATTTAGGGCCATGCCCCCTTCCCAGAGGCCTAAAGTGGCCCGTTTTCCCCCTCCCCCAAACGATAATGAAACATAGTTCAATCAGGGCGTGGCCCAGGAGCCGAGTTAGACAGGGCTGTTTTACCACCTCCGGCCCGCAAAGGGACCCAAGCACTGACTCGAAGCGGGTTAAAGAGACCCTCCCACCTTCAAAAAAGTTAATGAATTGGCATGAAAGTGATGTCGCTAGGTTCAGAAAGGGCGAAAACGAATATCTACCAAATTTTATCGAAAAATATTCACCGGTTTTCAAGAGATTAGACTTTTATTTTTGTTTACTTTTTGGGATATCCGCTGCTGTTCCTAGCGACTTTATTTGAAAGTGCGGCATTTGTTGCGCGCAAAGCAGCCTATACCACCGCATGCTACCAAACGTTTTAGTAAAATATTAAAAAATCATTAGATCTCCGCTGACGTCACACATTCAGAGGGGTATCCAAAAGCATTAGCCCCTCTGAATCAAAATGCTGCAATTTTGAAATTCAATATTTCCGATTTAAGGCATTTTTCGATGTTGTGAGTGCGTGCCGAAACCGGTAATTGTGAGCCAGGGACCCCATTTTGGCTATCTCAGCTCAAATCTAATGTTAAGGTGGGAGGGTCCCTTTAACTGGTCGATAAAAACAATGGTAAGTGTTTACAAAGTAATATAAAAGCATGGGTCGGGTGGGCTACCATTTATATATTTTCTTTTTAGTTTAAAAAAAAATCATAGTGTCAGGGCTGTGACGAAAAATAAGTGGCCTAAATCCGATGAGAAAACAGGATTTGGGGGTACCCTAGGTTTGGCTCCTGCATGAGTTGGCCCCCCCCCCAAAACGCAAGCCTGGATCCGCCAGTGCCCGTGGCTCACGGACTACATCTCACTCCTCAGCCCACCACTGCACCGCGAGCGGTCGGTAAACCCGGCCTCGCGTGTGACAAAACCACCGCCGCCGCCACCGGCGATTAGGGACGACACGCCAATGGAACGGAAATGACACAATCCTGATAAGAAGGGAGAGGAGGCCCGCTCTCAGGTGTTCCCATGACGTCACGCACAAAATGGCCGCCGGACGTCGACCGCCGCCCAATAATAAGCTCCAATCGGCGGCGGCGGCGGCGGGACATGGGACGGCAGTAACGACCGGCGCGACAGCCGAGGGCGCTTTGTTTTCCCGCTCTGAAGGGGTGTCGAGGGTGAGAGCGGCACAGAGGGACCGGACGGGGTACGGACGGCGACACAACTCGTTCACATGACTGCTCAGCTGGACGGAAGGGAGAGCTTGTGGGACTGTAATCCGGAGGTGGGCGTCGTAGAAGAACGTACTGTGTCCAAGTGCCAAGGAGTAAGGTATGAATTAACCCTCGCCCGTATTGATGTTTTTCCAGCCGCGACCGTATAAGGGGGGAGGGGGGGTCCGTTGGACCCCCCTTGCCGTTTCGCCCCTGATCGAGCTAGAGCTTCGCGGAAAAAACGAGCGTATTGCCCGTGATGAG